GAACTCAGATCCTTGCACTTGCGCAGCAGGTGGTGAAACCACTGAGCTAAATCCCCGGCCCTTTTGAGCTTTTTTCTATACTGTATTACCATAGATTAGTCCCATCCTCTTGAAAGTCAGTTTCTTTTTAAAAATATAAAGTCTTATGCTTTTTATTAATATTAATTGAATCTAGAAAAAACTGGCCACCAAAGGATATAGAGTGCACTGCTAAATATTTAAGAGAAACAGAACACTGCCAGCACAGAAATCAGTGTTAAACGGTTGTTTAGCTTTATTTGTAATCACCAAAAGTGAAAGCAACTCAAATATTCTTTATCTAGGGAATGTATAAACAAACTGTCATAGCCTGTATACTCCTGCTACTCAGGAGTAGAGAGAAACTAATAAGCCTAGGAATAAACTGGCTTATGACACAGCTCACAATAATGCTATAGAAACAGCCTCACACTGAAACTCAGCTGTTTCATCCTCTTAACTTTATCGGTGGCCCTACTTTGTCAATGTGGTGATCCAGACAGTTTCATGCTTTTGTCTTTAGAGTCTAATAATCTCTAAGGGAAGAAAGTGCTTTGTTCCCTTTGGTTCTAGCATAAGTACTTGGTTAGCCTTAGGTCACATGCCCGTCCCTGAGCCGATCAGGTGCCTGGCCAGGTGGCTTCTGAGTCGGAAGGCCACACCTGGGTCCTGTGTCCTCATTGGCAGGCCTCAGGTGGGAGTCATTCTTATCTTATCCAGGTGTTCTGAGCTGGGATGAGTTGGTTTCCCAAATACCAAAGGCAGTTGCCAGAAGGGCCAAGTGTAAAGACCACACATGTCTACTACTTTTATGCCAAAGTTACAGGCTGCAAAGCATTGTTTTCTTTCTAATCCCAGAGGTTCTTTTCTCTATTTTATTGTAGAAATTCTGCTGATATCACCTAGAAAGAGCTGGACAGTTTCTCTTGTAGATTCTTCTGTGTACACATTTTAAAATCCTAATTTTTTGTGTGGTAGAGTTCGTTCAGAATAATGAAGTATATCCATGCATTATATGTTTGTTTTCCAGGTTATAATAAAGGATAATAGTCTTGTGCTGACACCATCACACATTAAAGCATACATGTTGATGACTCTTCAAGGACTGGAATATTTACATCAACATTGGATTCTACATAGGGTAATGTTAGTCTTTTAATTTTAAACTTTTTTTCTTTTATTTGCAGTGTTACAGATTGAACCCCAGGCCTTCCATATGCCAGACAAGACCTCTACCACTAAGCTACATTCCCCAGCCCATTTGCTTCTTTATTGTAGCTTTATGTAGCTAGTTTAGTATATAATGGTGAGAGTATGTAGATTCTTGAACAAAATAAAAATACAGGTGAACCATTTTATCTCAGCCTCTTCTATGTGTTCTCCAGTTGCAGCAGGTGATGCTGTGAGGACTCCAAGATAACTGTGTAAAGAAAGCTTAGAATTAGAAGCGATCCAGTCTTCCTTTTTTTGTGGTATTGGGGATAAAACCCAGGGGCTTTTGACTACTGAACTACATCTTCAGTCCTTTTTTATTTTGAGACAAAGTCTCACTAAATTGTCCAGGCAGCACTCAAATTTGCGATCCTCTAGCCTCAGCCTCCCTAAATGCTGGGATTGTAGGCATGCATCACCATGCCCAACTGAGTGAGTGAGTCCATCGGTCCGTCCGTCCTTCCTTCCTTCCTTTCATATATGAAGAGCTAAGTTGCTAAGTGATTCTTTTAGTTACTTTTCTCATTGCTGAGGTATAATACCCAATACCCAAAGTTAAAGGGGGAAAGGTTTATTTAGCTTACAGTTCATAGAGGTTTCAGTCTATAATCAGCTGGCTCCAAGGCAGAGTGGCACATGGTGGAGTGGCGTCTTAGAGGAGAAACAGTTCATGGTGCCCACATGGCAGTAATAGCAACAAGCTGGGCCTTCACAGCCTCTTTCTGCCCCTTTCATCCCATCCAGACTACCAGGATTAGGGTAGTACTGCACCACTCACTCATGTGTACTGGTTTAGTAATCACACGCTCTTAATCCCCAGCATCACACCCTCTAGGTTCATCCACCTCTGAAAAAGGAAGTCCCACCTCATCCACATGAGGCTTTGGGGGACATCTAAACACAAGTCAGCTCTTAATAACTGACTGAGTGTTAGAACCAGGGTCTTTGCCTTTAAAGTCTTTTAAATCCAGAATTCTTTTCGCTCTATTGTTATAGAAAACTGGATTGATTTATATAGTGGCATTTTTGTTGTTGTTTTTTTTTCCTTCCTTTCGAGACAGGGTCTCACTATGTAGTTTCAGCTGGCCTTGAATTCACTATGTAGCCCAGGCTGGCCTTGAACTCAGGTGATCTCCCTGCCTCCACCTCCAGAATGTTGGGATTACAGGTGTGCACCACCATGCCTGGCTCCACTATACCTTTAAAAATAATATTTCTAGGGGCCAAGGACATAGCTCAGCGACACTGCACCTGCCTCTGAAGTGCAAGGTCCTGAGTTCAATCCCTGGTACTGGCAGGATGGGGGAGAAAATTTAAAAATAATATTTCTAGGGCCCCGGGATTTAGCTCGCTGGTTCTGCTTCCTGCCTCAAAAGTGCAAGGTCCTGAGTTCGATCCCTGGTACCCGCCCCCCAAAAAAACTTTTAGTAGCTCTAAAATTCTGTGAAGTTATAAAATTTATTTATGAAGTTGATCATTTTCAGAACCATGTAACTCTTGGAATAAGGAGGATAATTTGGCTAAGTAGATGGTCTTAGGTACCCTATTTGGATACATAGCCAAAAATCCATAATTTTTGACTAAGTAGTTCTCATCCCAAAGTTATTGCTGATAGCTCTTTAACATAGATTTTGAGGCCAGAGATTTAGCTTAGTGGTTCTGGCACCTGCTTTGCAGGTGCAAGGACCCGAGCTCGATCCCCGGTACCAAAAATTAAAAAAATTTTAAAAGCATAGATTTTGAAGAATGTGGTCTTCAGCCTTTCTGAGTTCATAATGCTTTTATTTTCTAAAGTTCACATTTAGTTTTATTAAATGAATCGTAGCAGTGATTTATTGGGTGTTTACTATGAGGCAGTCATTATACCAGGTTCTTTACAGAAAATATTACATTTAACCTCCACGGTAACCTCATGCAGTACATAAATTGGATCTTAGTGAAATTAAGTACCTTACCTAACCGCTTGCTATGTAATATAACCAATCTTATTTTGCATCTCTTTAAAAAGCATTGACTGTTGTTTAAATTTTGAGTGTTATCTATTTTCTTTCTTTTTTTTTTTTTTTTTTTTGGTACCGGGAATTTAAATCTGGACCTTGCACTTGCGAGGCAGGCGCCCAAACCACTGAGCTAAATCCCCAGCCCAAGTGTTACCTATTTTCTGTTTAGAGTTAAGACAATTAAATGTTTCACTATGATATTCTTCCCAACCCTGCTTATTTGTTTGCTCTAGGATCTGAAACCAAACAATTTGTTATTGGATGAAAATGGAGTTCTAAAACTGGCAGATTTTGGCCTGGCCAAATCATTTGGGAGCCCTAGTCGAGCTTATACACATCAGGTTGTAACCAGGTAAGAGTCTCTTAAGTGATTGAAAACTGATGTTGTCCAGGTCATTTCTCACAAACTGAGTATCAGCTGTCTTCTCTGATATATCTTGGCAGTGTGTAGGAATCATTATTGTCATCGTCTTAAAAATATAGCCCTTTTTATATTATGTGTGTTTTATTACAAAGGAAAAAACATACAGCTTTTTTGCAGTACTGAAGAGTCAAACCCACATCCTCATACATGCTAGGCAGGTGCTGTACCTCCAAGGTAACTCCCTAGTTCCTTAGTAACTTTTGAGAGGAATTTGTACTTTTGTATTTTAGTTAGGTAAGCTGTAACTTCAGCGGCCTTTCTTCTACATAGTCACCTGATTTATTTGCCCTGTGTTTATTATATCATTCAGTTCTGATTCTATAACTTCCTGTGTAAATGAAAATTTGCTACACCAAGCAATGATATTTGATTTGTTATATTATTAATAATTATGTTTTTGTTAATGTTTTGATGTATAAAAACAAAATCACATTAAATGATAGGGGAAATAAATTTTATAATTTTTCTCAGAATGGCATTTATTATTTTCTAAGACTTTTCTCGGGGTCTGGGAAGATTTCAGACTTTGTATTTTTTTGTTTTTGGTACCGGGGACCGAACTTGGGACCTTGCACTTGCAAGGCAGGCACTAGAACCACTGAGCTAAATCCCCAGCCCAGACTTTCTACCTTTTTTTATTTTTTTCAGACTTTCTACTTTATAAAATTATTTTGTCAGGGAAGTTGGGGGGAGAAATGAGATAAAATAAAATTTATTAATTAAAAAAATTATTTTGTCACCTCTTCCAAACAAATCTTTTTTTTTTTTTTTAGACTAGGTCTCACTATTAGTTCAGGCTAGCCTCAAACTCTCTATGTACCCCAGGCTGGCCTCAAATTTGCAGCAGCCCTCCTGCTTCTGTCTCCTGGGTACCAGGATTATAGGCATGAGACACCATGCCCAGCCCAAGTGAATCTTACTGAGAATTTGTCACCTGAGTCCTAATAAACAGTAGGGAATGGGTTTCGCCGCCTGTCTCACAAGAGCAAGGTCCCAAGTTTGATCCACGGTACCAAAAAAAAAAGCAGGGAGTGTGAGTAGTTAGTGTAATTGCTGGGTAGATTAAGCCCATTGCTCAGGAACTCTTAGAAACAGGGACCCATATACATGCATGTTACTATGTACTAGTACTTTCTCATCTACCAGTTTCTTATATTTTCTTGCAAATCAAATGCTACTAAGGTCAAGTAAAGATTAGGACCGTGAGAACTGCACATCATTTATGACTGACGAGCAGTTTTGATGGAGTGTGGAGATGAAAGCCTGAATGAAGAGGAGAGAGGATGAGAGGAAATATTGGACATAGGAAAAACAGATAATTCTTCACATTATCCAGAGAATGAAGAGGTAGCCTAGTGAAGTTCAGAGCTGGAGAAGTGATGATGTTTTTGCACATTGTTGGGAAAGGTCTAGAGAAAACAGAAGATTAATGACAGAAAAAAGAAGGGAGAATTCCAAGAGTAATATTCTTGAAAACTAGGGCCCAGGGATTTAGCTCAGTGGTTCGGGCACCTGCCTTGCAAGCTCAAGGTGCCGAGTTCGATCCCTGGTACCAAAAAACCCCAGTATTCTTGAAAACCAGCAAGAGTGTATGGTGTCTAGTACTCATGGTGAGGGATTGGCTTTAAAAATAGGCAGGGATAGTTCATCTCTTAAAAATGCTTTAATAATTCCATTCTCAAACATTTTTATTTTTCAGATGGTACCGGGCACCCGAGTTACTGTTTGGAGCGAGGATGTATGGTGTGGGTGTGGACATGTGGGCTGTTGGCTGTATATTAGCAGAGTTGCTTCTAAGGGTAAATCCTACATTAATGTGCACACTTCAAATAACTGTTGTTAGTTATTTGTTCTCAGAATCTGTGGAGGAATTATCTCTCTCTCATTATCCCTGCAACAAAAAGCCTACAAATGGGCCAAGCTTTCAAAAAACCCACAGTCAACTCAGTGGTTCCGCCACCTGCCTGACAAGTGCAAGGATCCGAGTTCGATCCCTGGTACCAAAAAAAAAAAAGCCTCAAACACCATGGTGCATGCCTGTACTCCGGCTGCTTTGGAGGCTGAGGCAGGAAGATGGCAAGTTTGAGGCTACCCAGGGTAACATAGTGAGACTCCCATGTTGAAAAAAAAAGCCTCCCCCAAGTGCAACCTTTTAATCAATGCTAATCTGAGATAAGACCTCCACTTAGGATAAGAGCTTTGTTATAGGTGTACTTCAGAACATAGACTTAACCTGTAGTATGGCAGTATCTCTGTATAGTAACTAAATGTGTTAGAATGAACTTTTATCCTCCTGGGAGATTTTTGTTTGGAACTGTTAAAAGTACCTTTTCGGAACTACATAATACTAACCACTGCAGCTGCCACTTCGTAGAACTTTAGAACATGTGAGACCATCATTTTAGTTCTGTTCAAACAGAGCATACATGGTGGCATGATAACATTTTTCTCTGGCTGATAGAATACAGTATCCCTGCCTGACCTTCTCCACTTGATCTTAGCCAAAAGGCCAAGAAGCAATCCTTCCTGACCTTCTCTGCAGTTACTACCTTGGAAACTTCTGTAGGTATAAAGTTTAGCTCTCTGGGAAGACTGGCCCTTCTGAACAGTGAAGGCAAAAGAACATAGGGAGAGCCTTCTTTTTACACACAACCCCCTGCTAACCTTGTCCTCAAGATGGATGTGTTTACAAAATGAGAAACCATGACTGGGCCTTTTTTATTTCCTCAAACATAGAAGATTTATTCTTTTTTTTTTTTTTGTACCGGGGATCGAACTCAGGACCTTGAGTTTTTGAGGAAGGTGGCAGAACCACTGAGCTAAATCCCTGGCCCAGAAGATTTATTCTTTACACCAAAGAGAAAAGTGGCATGAAGCTAAAAAGATGTTTAAGAACACAGGACTGCCCTGGCATGGTGGTGCACATCTGTATATTAGTGGAGAATCCCAGGACTCTGGCATTCTTGAGGCAGAAGGATTGCTGCAATTTCACACTATCATGTGATCTTCACACCAGCCTGTGAGTTAGGTGTAGTTAATTATCTCTGTTGTACAAATAGTGAAGTTGATATAAAGAGTAAAACAAATAGCCAGTTGCATGCCTTAATCCCAACATTCAGAAGGCTGAGACAGGAGGCTCACCACAAATTCGAAGCCAGCTTGGGCTACAATAGTGAGTTCAAGGCCAGTCTGAACCACATAGTGAGACCCTGTCTCCAAAAAAATTTCAAAAATAAAAAATACATGTAATGTGCCCATCCTACTGAACATAATAGCTTATTAGCAACATAGCAGAACAGTATAGAGTGTCTATTGTTGTTACATGATTGTGTGGCTGAAGGAGCTGCCCCTGGCCACCAATCTGAAGTTTGTCTTCTGTTGCTATAACTAAACACCACAGACTGGGTAATTCCTGAAGAAAAGAGGTTTACTTAGCTCACAGTTCTGGAGGCTGGGAGATCTAAGATTGAGGGAACAGTATCTGTTCTGGTAGGACCCAAGCTGTGTCATGGCATGGCAGGGTTCAAGCCCCAGGACCAAAAAAAAAGATGACACCAACTTTCTTAGTAGTAGCATTGGAATGTGGAAGACTTAACTTCATGTCACATAGGAAAATAATTTTCAAACCTAGAATTCTGTGCCTATACATTTTTCATTAACTATGAGAATAAATAGTTTGTCCTGTTAAAATTTTCATCCAGCTGAGCCTGGTGGCACATTCTTGTAGTATAATCACAGCCACTTGGGAGGCTGGGATGGGAGGCTCACAGATTCAAGGCCAGTCTGGGCAATGTAGTAAGATCCTGTCTTAAAATTTAGAAAGGGGCTGGGGATGTAGCTTAGTAGATCACTTGCCTAGGATGCACCCCCCCCCCCCCATTATATCCACCTCCTTTCTTTCTTTCTTTTTTTTTTTTTTTTTGGTACCAGGGATCGAACTTGGATCCTTGCGCTTGTGAGGCAGGCGCTGGAACCACTGAGCTAAATCCCCGGCCCCTCCACTTCCTTTCTTAAAAGATGTGGTTTGCTATAAATGAGAATAAACAATGAGAAAGACATATCCAAGAGATGGGATTCAACACAGCAAAGAGGTAAATCAAATTCTGGGTTTAAAAGTGCAGGAAAGTTCTGAGAAAATACGTGAGGATCCAGCGGAGGGCAGTTAGTCCAGATTGGAGCAGTGAGAGGACCTCATCAGCAGGTGGTCTCCAGAAAGAACGAAGTTTATGAAACAAACAGAACTGGTAGATTATGATAAGCTTGGGGCGGTGGGGAATGATTTTGTGTATCTGGAGTCTTAGCCTTAGTACAAAGGAAGTTGCCTATGACAGGGCAGGAGAGGCTGGAGGAGAAGGGCCAGGAGAAGAGCCAGACACTAATTCCTTAACAGTGTCTTAATCAGATACCTAGTCTGATACTTCTGTTTTCCCCAGTTTTTCTCATAAATGTCTTTTTTTTTGAGACAGGGTCTCGCTATGTAGTTCAAGCTGGCCTTGAACTCACTGTGTAACCCAGGCTGGCCTTGACCTCACAGTGATCCTCCTGCCTCAGCCTCCCAAAATGCTGAGATTACAGGTGTGCAGCACCACGCCTGGCTTCTCATAATTGTCTTCTAAAGTTGTCTGTTCAAAGTAAGATCTTAAACCCACACATTAGTAGCTTGTGGTGTTTTTTTACTTTTGCTTTTCTTGTGCTGGGGATGGAACCAAGGCCTTGTATATGCTAGGCAAGTGCTCTTTCACAGGGATACAGCCTCGCTCAGCAGCTCGGTCTAGTGTAAATTTTTACACCGTACAAAACCATATCTTTTTTTTTTTCTTTTGGTACCAGGGATCGAACCGGGACCTTGCGCTTTCGAGGCAGGCGGTGGAACCACTGAGCTAAATCCCCGGCCCCTCCATATCTATTTTAAATGTGACTAAATTGCAAGTTTGCGCAGTTTGCTTTTGTCGGTAAAGTAAGTATACATGCATCCCATAGGGAGCAAGATAATCTTTTGGTGTATAAAAAAAACATGAGGGCCGGGGATTTAGCTCAGTGGTGCCACTGCCTGCCTCACAAGTGCAAGGTCCTGAGTTTGATCGCTGGTACCGAAAGAAAGAAAAAGAAAACATGAGCATTCCTAAAAATGCCTTTAATGTTGCTTAATATCCTTTTAATTTTCTTGTGCAAATTTAATATACATAAAAATGCAATTTTGTGTAATTTCCAGATAGAGGTGCAGGATAATGCAAGCAGCCAGCATCCTGGGATCAGAGAAGATTTTGCTACTTCTGGGTTGGTTCCATAGCAGTGTTCAGTTTGGCCTTGATAGGTGATCTTCAGCATCCAAGGAAAAGAATGTGGAGCACCAGGAGTTTTTTCTTTTTCTCTGTTGATTTAGCTTAATCTATGAGTTCTAATGGCCTTCTCTTAGCTCTTTTGTCCCTTCTGTTCTTCAGCCTGTAATATAATTTAAGACTTTTCAGAATTCTTCTCTTAGGAGGCCTTATGGTAAGTCTAGGTCCAATCAGACAATAGAAAGCACCCTATTCAGGGAAGTTAATATAAAGAATTAGTATATACACGCATTTATTGTGGCACAGTTCACAGAAGCTGAGATATGGAACCAGCCTAGGTGCCCATCAGTTGATGAATGGATAAAGGAAATATGGTGTATATATACAATGGCATATTATTCAGACATATAGAAGGATGAAGTTGTGCCATGTGCAGGAAAATGGATGGAACATTAAACAAAATAAACAAGACCCAGAAAGACAAGTATCACATGGTTTCCCTGACGTACAGACTCTTAAAAAAAGCTAGGCATGGTGATGCACGCCTGAGTCCCAGTACTCAGGAAGAGGTAAGAGGATTGCCAAGAGCTTGAGACCAGCCTGGACTATATAGCCAGACCCTGTCTCAAAAACCAAACAAAAAAGATGATATGAAAGACAAGAAACTATTATTAGACATGAGAAAGGGAATAAGAGGGAGGGGCATAACGCAGGTTAATGAGGGGGATGGATGATTAAAATGTATTTGGATGCAAAGTTGCCCTGGATCTGTACTGCTAGAACTTACTAGAAATTTGCTTCCTGAAATGTGCTGGAAGTCTGCAGGAATAGTCCTACCACAGAAGTGCCTCTGGAGTCACTCTTCGTGGGACTCTGCTGGCCTCCCACACTGGGGAGCTGAGCACTGGGGGAGCTACCTGTTCTGCATGCTGTGGAGGCCTGGCACTAGAGAACCTGAGGGTGCTGCAGTGTCAGACAAACAACCAAACAACCAGGAAGCAAAACACTTTCTTCCTGTACTGTGTCCCTAGGATCCTCTGCTGACAAAGCTTCAGTGCCTACAGTGAAAAGTATTTAAAGCCCCCCCCCCCCCAAAAATTTAAAAAATAAAGGGCCCAGATCCATTGTTGCAGAGAAAGCAGAAGGTGAATTTACAATTGAAAAGCAATGAATTTTGGGAGTGGTGGTGCACACCTGTGATCCCAGCACTCGGGAGGCTTAGTCAGGATCACGTGAATTTGAGGCCAGCCTGGGCTACACAGTAAGTTCAAGGGCAGCCTGAACTTCATAGCAAGACCCTATCTCAAAAAAACCAAAACAAAGGGGGTTTGAGGGGGATAATGGGATAAAATAAAATTAAATTTATCAATAAAAAAATTTAAAAATCAAAACAAAACAAAAAAACAACAAAAAAGAAAAGCAATAAATTGATAACTGGCATGAAGGATATTTTTACCTAGTTTTTTTGTGTGTTCTCTTTTTTTGGTACCAGGGATCAAACTCAGGACCTTGTGCTTGCAAGGCAGGCAGTGGAACCACTGAGCTAAATCCCCAGCTGTTTTTACCTAGTTTTGCTGGAAGGAGTCCATGAGAACAAAAATGTTAGAGACCTGGTTCTTAATATCATGTCTGCCCAATGAATCTATAAACATTTGTTAAATCCCTTAGAAGCACTCAAGACCATTATATTGAGAATAAAGCCTTTTTTCTTTTCCATTTGTTTATATAGATACCTGAGAAAAATGAATTGGAAAATAATGTCTATGAATAGCAAAGATGTTGATCATTTATCACTTGTAATTTTTAACTTGTGATTATTAAATAGCATCTTATTTAGCATGTCCCAGTACACTTCCTTCTTTCTTTCTTTCTTTCTCTCTTTCTTTCTTTCTTTCTTTCTTTCTTTCTTTCTTTCTTTCTTTCTTTCTTTCTTTCTTTCTCTCTCTCTCTC